CTGGTCTAGCAACTAACTCCCATACTTCATGTTGCTTGAACTGGTTCAATTCATCTTGCATTGCTCCAATCCAGTATTCATCAGTCAAAGCCTCTTTAACATTTTTTAGTTCAATCTTAGACACAAAACAAGAGTTTGTGATGATTTCTCTAGATCTTGTAGTGACTCCACTGTTAGGATCTCCTATGATGAGTTCCTTAGGATGATCTTTCTGAATTCTGATGGAAGGGTCTTTGTTAGCTTCCTTTGATTCAGACTCTGATGGAGTAGGATTAGGCACATCATCCTTTTTAGACACTTGTGTTGAAGTCTCAAAGAATGTCTCAACATCATATGGGACATTTGTTTCCTCATGGTGATCATCAACTATGACATTTATAGACTCCATCATAACTTTGGTCCTGGAATTGAACACCCTATATGCTCTGCTGTTGGTAGAGTATCCTAGGAATATTCCTTCATCACTTTTAGGGTCCATCTTTCTCCTTTATTCACAATCTGTCAGAATATAGCATTTTCTCCCAAAGACATGGAAGTACTTCACTGTAGGCTTTCTTCCTTTCCATAGTTCATAAAGGGTGGATGATGTTCCCTTTCTCAAGGTGACCCTGTTGTGGACATAACAGGCTGTATTCATAGCTTCAGCCCAAAAATGAATAGGAAGCTTCTTGGCATGTATCATTGCTCTGGCAGATTCCTGTATAGTCCTGTTTTTCCTTTCCACAACTCCATTTTGTTGAGGAGTTATAGGTGAAGAGAACTCATGATTGATTCCTTCTGAGGAACAGAACTCATCAAACTTACTATTTTCGAATTCCTTACGATGATCACTTCTGATTCTGACAATGCATCCTTCTTTTTCTCTTTGAATTCTTTTGCACAATTCCTTAAATACATCAAATACATCAGACTTTTCCCTAATGAAGTTTATCCAGGTGAATCTGGAAAAATCATCCACAACAACATAGGCATATCTCTTTCCACCAAGACTTTCCACCTGCATGGGACCCATCAGATCCACATGTAGAAGTTCTAGCACCTTAGAGGTGGTCAGATGTCTAGTCTTTGGATGTGACATTCTAGTTTGCTTTCCAACCTGACATTCACCACAGACTCTCCCTTCATCAATCTGAAGCCTTGGAATCCCTCTGATAGCCTCCATGAATATGATCTTTTTCATCCCTCTAAGATGTAAATGACCAAGTTTTTGGTGCCACAGTTTCACTTCCTTTTCTTCTTTGGCTATAGAGCACACAGAAGAGTAGTTAGTGTTCTCAGACTCCCATAAGTAACAATTGTATTTTGATCTGACTCCTCTCATTACAACTTCTTGTTTTTCATTAGTTACAAGACATTCAGACTTGGTGAAGTTGACCTTGAATCCTAGATCACATAATTGACTGATACTTATGAGATTAGCAGTCAAACCATTTACCAGCAACACTTCATTTAGGTTTAGAACTCCAGGGCAATCCAAGTTTCCAACTCCTTTGATTTCTCCTCTAGCACCATCTCCAAAAGTGACATAACTAGTAGTATGAGGTTTGACATCATTCAGCAGATTCTTGATTCCAGTCATGTGTTTAGAGCATCCACTGTCAAAGTACCAGTCTTTCTTGGCAGAAATTCTAAGGGAGGTGTGAGCTATCAGGGCTGCAGTATTTTTCTTCCATTGTTGGGTATATGGTGCCTTGTTAGTCTTAGGTTTGACATATGGGGTCTGATTAGGATACCCATATAATCTGAAGCAGAATGGCTTTATGTGACCAAACCTCCCACAATAATGACATCTCCATCTTTGATACTTTTTTTTCATATTTCTCTGTTCTTGATGTTGAGTCCTATGTTGTGACATTTGCTTTGACATTTGTTTATCAGGCCTGGTCTTCTTCTTGTCAACAACAGATTTCTTTGCAGCCACAAATCCTAGACCAGACATGTTTCCTGCATTTTGTACAGCCTGAAGGATTTCTTCCAACTTGTCAGTTCCAGTTGTTAACATCTTGACAGACTTAGTCATCTAATCAAGTTTGGAGTTCAACATTAGAACTTCACCTTTGAGATGGCTTATAGTAGTAGTGTCTTCCTTCTTCTCAGCCTCCAACTTCACTATGAGATTTTTCTGTTTCTCATTTTGCTGACAGACTTCAACACTTCTGATACATAGCTTCTTGTAGGAGTCAACAAGTTCTTCAAATGTCACTTCCTCAACACTAGAATCATTATCAGAGTTACAAACACCAGATAATGCAGTAACTAGTTTAGCAGATTCTTCTTCGGAGTCGCCTTCTGAGTCACCATCAGACCAAGTAACAGACATTCCTTTCTTTTGTTTCTTTAGAAAGGTAGGACATTCAGCTCGAATGTGCCCATATCCTTCACATCCATGGCATTGGATTCCTCTGCTTTGATTTCCCTTTTCTTCAGACTTAGTTCTTCTGCTGGATTCATAGGATCTGCTAATGTCAGAGGAAATGTTCTTGACATTTGACCTTGACTTTGGGTCCATTCTCTTGATGAGTTTGTTGAACTGCCTTCCAAGCATAGCTATAGCTTCTGATATATTCTCTTCATCACTCTCCTTGCTTTCATCTTCAGTATTGGATACAAGGGCTATGCTCTTGTTTTTCTTGTCAACATTGTCACTGATCCCCATCTCAAATGTCTGAAGTGACCCAATGAGTTCATCAACCTTCAAGTTGCAGATATCCTGAGCTTCCTCTATAGCAGTCACTTTCATTGCAAACCTTTTAGGCAAGGATCTGAGAATCTTTCTCACCAGCTTTTCTTTTGACATCTTTTCTCCCAATGCTCCTGAGGTGTTGGCAGTTTCCAAGATGTTCATGTGAAACTCATGAATGGTCTCATCTTCCTTCATCCTTAGATTCTCAAATTTGATAGTGAGCATCTGAAGTCTTGACATTTTTACTTTGAATGTACCCTCATGGGTGGTTTTGAGAGTGTCCCAAACATCCTTGGCCAGTTCACATTGATGTACTAGTCTAAATATGTTTCTATCAATTCCATTGAACAAGGCATTCAATACTTTAGAGTTACCCAGGGCTAACTCTTCTTCTTCTTTGCTCCATTCTTCCTCAGGTTTCAGACTAGTCGTCCCATCTTTCCCAGTTATGGTGGGATGGTTCCATCCTTTGTCAGCAGCTCTCCAAGCTTTATTGTCCAGTGACTTCAAGAAGGCAATCATACGAGGTTTCCAATAGTCATAGTTTGATCCATCCAGAATAGGTGGTCTGTTCCCAAATCCTCCTTCCTTGTCCATAGCGCCAGAAAATAATATCCCTAGATCTCACCCAGAAAGACAGGCAGGGTGCCTGCTCTGATGCCAATTGAAATTCTGGCAACAAATACTTAATGTCACAGTGAATGTTATGACACCGTATCTGACAAATTGTACATAAACCAAACAGTAATTTAACAGACAGTAAAGAACACAATCAATTGTTAACCCAGTTCAGTGTATAACAACACCTACATCTGGGGGCTACCAAGCCAGGGAGGAAATTCACTATAAGAGGTATTAATTTAGGAACAAACCAACCATTTTATCTCCTTCACTTAAGACCTACCCAATGCAACTTCAATCTAAGTCCTACTTAAACCTGAGTTCCTACTCACTCTCCCTCAATCACAGCAGTGATACTAATCTACTGAATAATAAGATTATGAAGACATTCTTCAATACACACGCTTGATTTTGCTTCAAAACTTTAATCAAGAGACACAACACTCGTGTTTCAAAGCTTTGAGTGATAAACAACCCTTACAACCAAATCCTACTCCAAGTCACTTATCAAGTGATAATTGCTTGGCTCACAGTAATTACACAACTACAAAATGCCTTATTGATCTTCTATAAAAGCGCTGCACACCATTAGGATTCGTGAGAAATATATATGCAGTCTATTTTTCATTTTGGGCTTCCATAAAAATAGCTAGGGTTAACCAAAGTTAACCTAAAGACTTGGTCTTGTTCTTTCATCATAACAGATTAGGTATAAGCAAGGTTAACCTAATATCCACGTGAGTATCTGATCTAGTCAATATACTTCAACTCAGAATAGCACACCAGATTCCTGAAAATTCTCAGGAACAATAAATCTGCACAACAACTTGATCAGTACAGGATGTCTTAACATTGGTTATGAAATCATGTATCCTGCTCACTGATTTTAGTAGAATTCAGTACATATGATCATAGCTTAATCATCATGATATTCACTCATACTGAGTTGTTCCCGTAGAACATTCCTTCTGCAGAATTTGTCTTTATCCCAGAATGTTATGACATCAGTCATGACATTCGCAAATCTGGTTTTACCAAAAATTAATGCCAACAAACAAACACTTACAAATTGTTAAAACACTTAAAAATAAGGGAAGTCAAACATTCTAAATCAAAGTGTTTTAATAATATAAGCACTTAAAAGGCCAATATGAAAATATCATTATATGGCAACTCATAATAGAACTATGACTCCACTCCCATCAATTATAAATTTAAATTTGTTTTATAATTAAAACTTACAATTATTTCAGGGGAAGTACTAGTGCAAAAGAAGTATAGGAAGGTCTTTAAGAGTTTCAAGGTTGTAATATAACATTGATGTTGTTGAAGTTAAGTGATTGGATTGAATTGAAAAGAACAATAAATGTGGTGTCATTTACTACTCCTTTTCCAAATACAATAATGTAAAGAAAAGGTGTTTCATCTTGACTGAGAATGCTAAAGAAAAATATCATGTCAACATCTATAACCTTATAGCTTAAAGAGATATGATAACTAATAGCAATGAATAATAATTACAACTCGATAACTTAACTTTCATGATGAAGTTGTAACAAATTTGCTAATCATTCTAAGAAATGTTAAAGATGATAATTTGAATGACAAAGCAAAAACTATCCTAGTAGCTACCATTAATTCCATAGAAATATGTAAGCATTTGAACATAATGATAATTTGAATGACAAAGCAAGAACTATCCTAATATTTCCCAACAAAAAAAATCCTTATAAGAATTGTTGCTAAGCATCTGAACATCGTCTTCTTTTATGAACCTTCCTCCTCCATTAATTTCCAACAGTTCCTTTGCAAAAATTTCAGGCCAAGACATCTCATCATCATCATTTTCTTCTTCTTTATTCATGATGATATCACTGTCATCTTTGTTAAAACTGCACTCTCTTTGCTTAGTTCTTTCAACCACCTCAATTTCGCTATTTCTACTATCATCTCGATTTTTTGGATTTTGTGCAATATTTTCTCCAAAAAACATATTATTGTACTCCTGAAAAATGATAATAAAATAGCACAATAATAAGAAATTAAATTATCAATACAATGCCAAAGGACTTTGGCTCGGTTTCGTAATTTCCAACAAATATTATATATATATATATATATATATATATATATATATATATATATATATATATATATATATATATATATATATATATATATATATATATATATATCAACAAAAGTTGTGTCCATAATGCTTTATAATATAATTCTTACATATTCAAACTTAGTCTTTAATGCAATAAATTTTTCCTCTTCTGGCCGAGTACTTCTGATACATTTTCTTTTCTCTCCCATATATGTAAACTCCATGTCATCCTCATATTTCCTCTTGTTTCCACCATCATTTGATTGAACTATTGCTTCTTCATAGATAACATATTTTTTCACCGAAACATTATTGTCCTATAACAACAACCCAAAAAAAAACAAATATGATGAAGATTTTAAAAATAATCAAAACCTTAAATAAGCATAAATATTATTAAATATATATAGTGGTAACTTACTAATATGACAGGTTCTGATTGTTTAGGAATGATATGTTCTTTTTCTTTAGAAATCACATTCTTTATTTTACTCTCTTGACAATTTTTTGTTCTTGAAATTTTTCTTAAATGAGAATTGGATTGATCACCTATACTTGCTCTTGCTTGTGTATTTTGTGATTTCAAATTCTTTCTAAATCTGCATAGTACATAATTGTTGACCTGCCAAAAAATACATATTAATCACTACTTAGGCTTAAAACTAATTATTGTTAACACAAACTAATAATGTGACATAAAAGTTTCTTACTAGAGCATTGTTAATCAAAGATTTATGGAGCTTATATTCATGCAAAATCCATCCACCATCTTGAGAAGTGTTACTCTTCTCAAAACGAAAACGTTTTTTCAGACCGAGGAGTTGGTTCGTGTCTTTGGCAAATATATTTTTTCCGGTGTCTTCGCCTTCCCAATTACCGTTTCCGATCGTGCGAACGGAGCGCGTGCTCGTAGTGGACTTCTTCTTTAAGGTAGTAAAGAAATATAGGTCTTTTCCGCTATATGAGTGTGAAGCTTCAAACTCATTCCATATATCCAATGGAGTCTTTTCAGTTCCGAACAAATCATGTTCAAGAATGTTGAGATAATTGGGAATTGGTTCATTGTTAATTTTGTTGTAGAGGAAGTTTTGAAGAAGTTCTTCATCGGTTGGCATGAAATCTTTAGTTAAACAATCATTGAGAGCCTTCATGATGACTTTAAGATTCAATTGCAGACTCAGGTGAAGTTAATAAGCTCAAAAAATAAAAAATACTACTTAGAAGACATAAATATATAGGCATTACATGTTTAACAGATCCACTAAACAAAAGCAATTTAAATCAAATCAAATATAATCTAACTTTAATTTTAAATCAAATCAAATATAATCTAACTTTAATTTTAAATCAAATTTAGTTTCATTCTAAATCAAATCTTAATCAAATCTATAATTCCGGATAGCCTTGTTTTTAGCATAAAATTAGTAGGTTGAGTTAATAGAAAGAATTACATCTACTAAACTTTATGAAAAATTAAATTACTATTAATATTTTTTTATTTTAAATTAAAAAATTAACTCTATCATTTAAGATTTTACATCTATTCCAATCTAAATTCGTACCAATTAAATTACAAACCGATTTTGAAAAACGAAAATAAAACAAAATCAAATATTTTTAATTGAGCTTGAATCAAATCATTAATATTAATATGAGCACTAAAATTGTAAATAATTTAATTAATATGAGCTTATATTGATGGTATAAAATATTTTTATACTCTCCCTTATATTATCTAACTTAATTTATTACTATTTATCAATGATTTGGCAAAATATGCATTGTCTATTGAATTATTATATATTTTAGTTTTTAAAAAATACATACAAATATTTTATAATAATTTAAATAAAGTATTTTACCATTTATTTTATTTTATAACTGGTAACGTGAGCATAGCCACTTTTTTCTTCTATTTTTTTTTATTATATATTTTAGTTTTAGTCCTAAAGACTAGGTAGTAATAATCATTAAAAACTTATACTTACAATTATAATTATGAGTATTAGATTTTAAATTCGGATGATACTGTAGAAGACATAAATATATAGGCATTACATGTTTAACGGATCTACTAAACAAAAGCAATTTAAATCAAATCAAATATAATCTAACTTTAATTTTAAATCAAATCAAATATAATCTAACTTTAATTTTAAATCAAATTTAGTTTCATTCTAAATCAAATCTTAATAATCTATAATTCCAGATAGCCTTGTTTTTAGCATAAAATTAGTAGGTTGAGTTAATAGAAAGAATTACATCTACTAAACTTTATGAAAAATTAAATTACTATTAATATTTTTTTATTTTAAATTAAAAAATTAACTCTATCATTTAAAATTTTACATCTATTCCAATCTAAATTCGTACCAATTAAATTACAAACCGATTTTGAAAAACGAAAATAAAACAAAATCAAATATTTTTAATTGAGCTTGAATCAAATCATTAATATTAATATGAGCACTAAAATTGTAAATAATTTAATTAATATGAACTTATATTGATGGTATAAAATATTTTTATACTCTCCCTTATATTATCTAACTTAATTTATTACTATTTATCAATGATTTGGCAAAATATGCATTGTCTATTGAATTATTATATATTTTAGTTTTTAAAAAATACATACAAATATTTTATAATAATTTAAATAAAGTATTTTACCATTTATTTTATTTTATAACTGGTATCGTGAGCATAGCCACTTTTTTCTTCTATTTTTTTATTATATATTTTAGTTTTAGTCCTAAAGACTAGGTAGTAATAATCATTAAAAACTTATACTTACAATTATAATTATGAGTATTAGATTTTAAATTCGGATGATACTGTAGAAATAGTTCAGATTAATTAATCTATGTTCTAACTTACACAAATTTAAGTCATGTCATATTTTTTTTAATGAAAAGCATTAAATTTTTTTATAAACTTATTTAATTAAAAAGATTAGGCTTTAAATCATAAAAAAGTATTTTTAAATCTATAAAATCATAAAATTTATGAAAATAGGTTAAAACACCTTTAAAAATAATGTGATTAATTATTTTCATTAATTTTACAAAATAAATAATATCATAAAATTTATACTATTAAGTAATTTCAAATAAGTTATTATAAATAAATTTTTAATATAACCGATTTTTTAGTTCTTTAATCTATATAAAGAATAACTTAATAGATTATTTATAAATATTTAAATAAAATAGACTTTAAAGTTTGCTAATATATCAATCAAATATTCGAAAATGTCGGACTCAAGTCTAAAAATAAACTTATACAGACTATAAGTCAGGTTTGAGCTTTGAAATTTTTAGTCATTCAAATTTAATCTTGACAAAATCTAACTCGATTTAATTTATTCTCACCACTACATTCAACCTAACAATATCGGTTTCGGCAAGTTGAACTGAGATTTGTAGACTATATTACATCCATGTTATATCTTTATTTTCTCATTATTTTAATTTTAATTTTGAATTTAATTTAAATTAACTCTCAAATTTTAACAAACTAAAGAAAATTTTATGTAATCAATTTACCGGTAGATATCATTAGTCACGCCCATGGAGATAGCATACATAATGCTACGTTAATTGCATCTAAAAATTGATGTAATTCCTACTGTTAACTAATTAGGGTTATATATCCAACCAACTCACACTTTTAATTCTAAAATATTAATATTATATGACATAATATTATAATTCTATTAAATGATAGTGTAAAACTAATTTATATTGACATATCATACCTTTAAAAATTAGGATCGGTTGACACTAGATATAAGTCTAAAATCTTAAGTGTTAATAGAATTTATCAAACGATCATATTAAATGAAATAAAAAAGTTATATCATATTCTTTTTCCTAAAAAATAAACGATTGTTTGATCAAGTTCTATTAACGGTTGAGATTTGATGTTATATATATATATATATATATATATATATATATATATATATATATATATATATATATATATATATATATATATATATATATATATATATAATATTATGTGTCTAGTGAAAAAATATAATCTTATATGAGAGTAAGAGGAAAAGAAAATAATTGTTTGATTAAAATAAAGCGTTGAGATTTAGTATCATACTTAAATTTCTCACATGATTCTATTTTTCTCAACTACAAGTCACAAACTTGAGTTATTTAAGTGAGATATTAAATTTCAACATTTTATTTTAATAAAATAGTTTTTATGTTTTCTTCTCATTCTCATATAAGACTATATGATCTTACCGGTTGATTAGAATCTGCAAGGTGGTCGGATGATAATCTTCAGTCGGGTTGTGGTGTCGAGAGGAAAAAGGGGGTTGTACCTGCAAGGCACTCCAGCGATCAAGTAAGTGTGGGAGTAAAGAGATACAAGCAAATTATTCGATACTTGTTCCTTACATGTGTGAGGGTTTATATAATGCCCCTAGCGTGTAGTCATTGGTTCCTGTTTTGGGGCCTGGATATGCGGATCCACAAAAATAGGTAACTGTCAGGACTTGGTCATACCGAGAAAGTGTGTTTGTAACTAGCCATTAGATCTGAGGAGGAGGTAAGTTACGGGCTGCGATCTGGTCGGTTTTTGGTTGTCTGCGCGACTTGATGTCGGGTAGACTAAGAGGTGCTCTTCAATCATCGTGGGTCAGTGCCGGTCCAGAAGGAAAATGGATCAATGTTGCCCGACGTAGAGCGAGGGAGATTCGGGCCATGGTCGTGTGGGCTGTACCGAAAGAAGGGGTTAGACTGGGCCCACTCTGGCTGTCTGGCCAATCCAGAATAGTAGCCCCCCAAGTCGTTGCTTCTAGGCATAGGAGTGATGAATTTAACACTTTCTCGTGGGACGGGGAGCGTCGTATGAGTAGCACGAGCATCACCCATTGTGTATTTCTTATGGGGAGATGAAGAGTTAGTCGTTCTGAGCTTTGAACTTGAAGAGGTAGTGTATTTCGGGTAGCGTGATGACGAAGCAGCACAATGATGGCCTAGGGGCTAGGGTGCAATGGTGGTGATCCTAGGGTTTCCCAGGCATGTGTCTCGCACGCGCGGATGGTTTCAGCTATAAATACGAGAGGAGTAGGGAGTTTTGTGTTTTTCGTTCTTTCTCCATACTGTTTGTTGTTGCTCGTCTATCGACCACTGTCGTTTCTTGAGGTTCACGGCTCGTTGTCGCTCTTTTCAGCCTTCCTTCTTTTTTAACCGGTAAGATTTTAATTTTTCATTGTTATTTGGCTTTTGTAGTTCATATTTTCATGATTTTCTTCTTAGAAATGCATGCAGTTAGGGTTTAGAATCCTGTTTGTTAAGGGGTTCCTGGGGAGTGTTGATGGAAAATGGTGGTTCTATAGTTTAGAATCGTTGGAGCCACCATGGATCCTCCCCGAACATTTCTCGTCGTGCCGTAGATGGTCTTTTAGGGCCTAGGGCTCTCCCCGGGACTTTTGTCTGTTTATGCGCCTTAGTGAGAGTTCTGGTCGAGGACACGATCCTCGTTTATCAGCGCCCTTTCACTTGATTAGTGGTGGAAGGATGGTTTTGGCATTGATGTCGAACTCATCTTCATCCTCTGCTTTTCAGGTACTATGGCCGACAACGCCAGGGTTGACCTCTCGAGCGAATTTTCTGGATCTTCATGAATTTCTTCAGACAAGGAGAGTAGCTCGTCGAGCATTTTGGAAATTTTCAGGGATGAGCTGGATCAGCCCAGACAACACGTGGGGGGAGGCGATGTGGAGATGGCCTCTGCTGATCAAGGTGGCATGTTTCCCCCCGGGGATGATAAGGATCTGCGGGCTTGGGTCGCGAGTGATCCTTGGGACCGATCCTCCTACTTTTTCGAGCATCAGGATGACGTCTTTACCGAGGTGTATGCACATGAGGATCGAAACCGGGGAGAGTGGTCACTGTATATTCCTGGAAAAGAGAGCAGGATCTGCTCGAAATACGACAGACGGCGGATTCCCGTGTACGATATCGTGTTCCGAGAAATGGGTCTTCGGCTTCCTTTCTCGGATTTTGAGGTGGCCGTATTCAGGCATCTTCGGCTGGCTCCTTTCCAACTACACCCGAACAGCATTACGTTCATGCGAGCGTTCGAGATCGTTTGTGACTACCTGAAGATAGGGGCTACCATT